GTGCTTGTCATCTGCCGACAACTGTCCAAGTATTTCCAGTGGTTGTCCCTTCAGGCTCATTGCCAAGTACATTGCTTTCTGCTACTCTGTCCATCCATTCATTTCTGCCACGAGCTCAAATTGTGCTCTATATACTTCCCACGGTGCCCTCCCATTGAATTCCTGTGGCTTCCTTCGTACTAGATCACCCCTATTGCTGACACTCATGTCTGGAATGTGACTTCTGGCAGGACTGAAGATGTCTGCATTAGGGTTTAGCTGCGTGGTCTGGAAGGGCTTCCTGTTGTCTGGGGCTGATTAGGGCCATGGCTAATATATCCTACTTGTGTTAGAGACAGTAAATCGTTCTTTAACGTATTTAATTCACTTTGAAATTTACTGATCTTTTCCACTTGTACTTCTTGCTTTCTTTATTTTTGCAGTTGCCACTGTTGTAGTCTCTCTTCTTGTTTATTTTCTTTCTCCTCCAACCACTGCTGTAGTCTCTCTTCTTGTTTATTTTCTTGTTCTTCTTGTTTCCTTTCTTTTTCCTCCAACAACTGCTGTAATCTCTCTTCTTGTTTCTTTTATTTATCCTCCAACAACTGCTGTAATCTCTCTTCTTGTTTATTTTGCTTTTCGAGCTGCCATTGTTGCAGGTTTTCTTGCCACTGCTGTTGTCTCTCTTCTTGTTTATTTTCTTTCTCCTCCAACCACTGCTGTAGTCTCTTTTCTTGTTTATCTTCTCATTCTTCTTGTTTCTTTTGTTGTTCATGCATTGCTGCCATCAAATCTGCTAAGCTGTAGTTTGATTTGCCACTTCTCGTTTTCCATCTTTTTTTTTTCCATCCCACTTCTGACACCAATTTGTTACATATGTGCTCATTTGTTAATTTCTGGTATAAATTCTTTCCGAGGAACTTCAGCGATACAAGTCTTTTCTTAAATAAAACTAGTTTATTCTTTCTCGATACAACTTTGTAATACACTTAACAAATTTTATAACACACGATATAAATCACAGTGATTCACACACTTTACTTACGGTGCCTACTGTTTGCTTGACTCAATTATCTCTATCTTCAATCTATCTGCATATCTATCTCTTCTTTTATTTGCTGGGTTTATATACTGAAAAAGTGGGTGTACTGATCAAACTAGGAAATTCACGATCATTCGAGAAACTCCTCACACATGCCACCAGTGCCAATAACATCAGGTGACTTAACAGCTGTCGTAACATTATGAATTTAGTTTTGAAAATATTTTCAGAGACATATGAAGGTCAATAATCCTGGGATCGAGATTAATGCCATTTGGCATAACAGTATTTAATAGTGCTATCCAGTAAGCTTCTTTAATTTCCCTTTTTCTGTTAGATGTAAAATTTGTCTCTATACCCATCACTTTAAAGTCTTCAAGAGAGTGTCCAAGCATGTTAGAGTGCTTTGCGACCAGAAGTTATTTGTGGTTATTAAAACGTTCCTGTATAGTTGTTTTGACCTACATATTGGAAGTTGCATTTTCGGCACTGGATTATGTAAATGATGTTTTTTTGTAGAGCAGGTTATGAGTTTAGTGATTTTGAACTGCTTTTGGTTGTCTTTATCAGAAAATGTATCCATTTCCAGCATGAACTTACAGGTCTGGCATCATTTGATATTGCAAAGATGATTTCCACCTGGTGTCAACTTAAAGTTTACTTTAGCGTGAACTAAGTGTGAATGCAAAGTTTTATTTTCCTGAAAGAAACAGGAACTTCTGTAAAAATGGATTTTAGTTTATCATTAAGTTGAAGGAGGTGTTTTTTAGTATCCAGGGTAGGTTTTTAGTTTTGGGTGATGGGTAATAATAACCAGTGGAACACGAGAAGAATTGGTTTTAGGTAATTGTTTCAAGGCAGATTGTTAGTTTTGTCAAGTTGTTAGGTGATAGTGTTTTGTTTATTACCATTTTCAGTCATAGTCTGTTTCAAAGAATAAATGTGATGATCATAATTCTTATTGTCAGAGCATATCTTCTTTAATCTAAGTGCTTGACTGAATGTGATATTGTGTTTGGTGACAGATTTGATTATGCAAATATTGTGGTTTATCTGTTGGTTTTCGGTACAAATCCGTATGTATAACACCATCTTTTATTGTTAGATTTACATCTAAGAAACTTATTTGGGTAGTGAAGTAATCTAGAGTAAATTTAATAGAACTGTGGAAGGTGTTAGCACGTCTATAAAAGGATAGTATTGAATCATTGCTCCTTCCCAAATGAAAAAAATGTCATCAATGTGGCATCTCCAAAAATTTGGTTTGTCTGCGCAACTTTCCAACAGTCTCATCTCTAAATCTCTCATAAAAATGTTGGCATAATTTGGTGCCCATAGCTGTGCCTTTTGTTTGAACATAGAACTCATTATTAAATTTAAAACCATTGAGTGTAAGTACTGGTTCACCTAAGCCTGTAATAATTTGAATGTTGGGTTGGTCTAGTTTTAGTAGAGAAGATTCTAGGGCTTTTAGGCCTTCATCGTGGGGAATGTTTTGTGTAGAGAGAAGAAACATCTATTGTACAGAGAATAGTGTTTGGAGGAAGTTTTCCATTGCTGTTAATGTCAGAGATCATATTCAGAAAATGTGTTGTGTCTTTAATGTACGATGTCAAACGTGATGTGGTGATCAATATAAGCAGATAAGTTTTCAGTAGATATACCGAAATTAGAAATAATAGGACGACCAGTATTGTTGGGTTTGTGTGTTTTTGGTATCATGTAAAAGCAACCTGGAACTGGGTGTTTAGGTAAAAGGAACTGTAAAGTCTCATAACTGACGTGTTGCCTTTTCTGTAAGCTACATATTATATCTTTGATAATTATAACAAATTGTAGTGTGGGGTCTAAATCTATCTTTTTATAGTTACATAGATGTAGTCAGACTTATCTTGAATGGCAGATTTTGCTGACATTCAACCTTCTTCACACATAATAGTGTTAAGTTTGATCATTAGAATTTTGAACAAAAACAAATTAATTAAAAAAATTGTTTACTTTATTTGCATTTCATCAAAATATGACATTATTGGTAGAGCTGAATACCTTTGCAAGGCACTGTAAATGTTTAAATATATGTCTCTTTCTTTTTCTTCATATATTTAATATTAACTTATAGAATATTTACTTTTATATAGATTTCTTGGTACTGAATTTTTAAAAAAACTTTCAAAATACTGGAATTGGAATTTTCATTCTGAATAGCATTTTATACCCACTTGATCTAAACAGCCAGGTCAGAGTTAATTAATTTTGAATCATCTACCACAATTTGCAGCACCTGCTGCTGCAAGGGCTTTGTTTGGTTCTTTGAACCAAATAGTAGGATTTACTATTACCCATACTATATATATGCCTACAGCAAAGTGTATTCTGCTTTATCATGTCTGGAGCCCTGGAAACTATAATCTGTATCCTGACACATCACTAGGTTATGCCTGGAGACATAAATTTATGTTAGTACCATTAATAGTATCTTGAAGTTGTACTTCACTGGACAGATCTGAGCATATAAAAAAAAACAAAAAATATGCTTGCACTAGAAGTTATTTTGTAACATAAATTAAGTATACATGACTGAATACTTGTAGTTTAATGGTAAAAAAGTGGCTAGAAAAAAAAAGATTATAATATTTTATACTTTAGGATATATAGTGGACAGCAATTACAAATTTTACAGCAGAGTTGAATATCAGCAAAGTTAGGATGTATAAATGTCAGAACTATTAAAAACCCACATGCATGAACATTTATAAGTTACTCACTAATAAAATAAAACACAAAATTACAAGTGAAATTTAAGCCATTAAAACTTCCATAAATATTACATTAGATATATATGATCCTCTACTAGCTTACTGGGTTGATGATGTTCTTTAAAAAAGGTAGTGTTGAAATCAGAAAATTATTTTAGTAGATGTTCTAGTCTACCCATTTTTTCATTCCAGTACATATACCTAAAGGAGCAAACTAGCATAATACAGCATAATCTTTTTTCTTTTTTTGCCATCCTTGATTAAACCAAAGTTATAACCTACATAGGATTACATAAGATTATGTTCAGTGCTCCTAGACTTGCTAAAGACATTGAAATAGACTATGTATAGCTCAACTGTTTTTTTTTCCATAGCACAGAACCATGTAAACATATGTTTAACATATTTGTAAGGGTGAGAAAGAACAGATATAAGGACTAAACTCTCCAATGTAGAAACTGCAAAGGACTTAGTTTCATGCATTTCCATCCCTCTTCATAAACTGAAAAGAGATAATACTAAGAATAAGTGTGTAAATTTTAGCTTTATGTGGTAAACATGAAGTATTGTGTATAAAGTCTACTTCATAGAAGGCTTTCATTCACAGCATTCAGTAAAAACAGTAAAATTTCATTGAAACTGAAAACGTTTATTAAGTGATGTTCATCATATAAATTTATCATGCTTGTTTAGTTGATCATTATTTTTTAGAAAACATAACACAGTGAATACTATGTAATAAAATTTTTGGGCCTACATGAAACACAACATTATTTGGTAATGAAATGAAAATGAACATCAATAGTTCATGTATGAGAATTCTAAAAACATTTAACATTAGTGATACAGAATTATTTGAGCACTGTTCAACTTTAGGCTAGCCTTTTATGATACCAGTTGCATAAGCATTAGTACTGTTTATGTGTGTCTATATTACTAGATTACAAGAAAAGAACTAATTTTGACTGAATAATTTTCCAGTAGTTTGTTTAAAACTACTTTAATATACACTATTATACAATAAACACTAGTGTTTCATTACTTGGATTACACTGTTTGTCTTTATTCTAGTTATGCAACTTTGAAAGCAAAACCACACAAAACCAGAAACAATTATAAAATTATTTTAATAATGAAAACATAAATGTCAAAAAGTATTGTTTTTACTAAATCAAACCCCTTAATCACAATTACTTGATAGCAATGAAGTACAGTACACTTGCCATGATAGTTGCTGTAGCAATACCTTGATCACCTCCACCCCAACACTCCCCAATGTTGGGACAACGTGCTTCCTCACATACCTGGAAAAAAATATCTGATGATCTACACTAATAAGACACGTACAAAAAAATATCCAAACTTAAAATATGAAAAAGGAATGCATTTGTCATTGACAGCTCTTGTAGAGATGTGAAAACAAGATTTATTTCCAACATAAAATCTTTAAAAACTATATTTGAAAAACATATTTATTCAATTTAAGAAACCATTGTAATGACAAAATATTTCAATGTGTATGTTGTAATATTTGATTAATCAACATTTATGAGCCTCTTATACTCCAATAAAATTAATTTCACAGAAATCGGGAACTATACAAAAAAGTGTTTTGTCTCAAAATAGCTTATCAGATGATAAACTTTTTCAATAATTGCATAATCTAAAACAACTGGTATCACACTAAAAATTAAATACAATTCTGAAATTTATAAATTCAAAGTACCTGTCATTAAATTGATGCAAACAGTGGCAAAACAAAGGAAACTGAAATATTTCAATTACTGATGAATTGTAATGCATGCTTTTAATACATATAATTTAATTACAAAAGTAGAGATACTGACCACAAATTCATTGATAATCCAAAATGGAGGATAAGTTTTATTCAAAAGCAGATACAGAACACCATAAACTGTAGAGTCAAAGGTAACTACAGAGGGTCTTAAGTGACCAATAATAATGAAAAAAAAACTTACCTCAAAACCCTAAACTGGGAGATCTCAGAAGCAGTTAGCCATGATAGAATTTCCAGGATCATAACAAAAGAAAATGTCAAAACTATTTATTAAAAATACAGCAAAAGGTACCAAAAAATTGTGAAATAGCCAGAATGATACAACAAGAATGTACAGAAAACTTGTTCTAACACTCAAGATTGAATGTATCCACTGTGAGAGCTAGTTGCTTCCAGAACTGGATACCAGAATAAACTTGTAAATGAAAAAAGTAAGAAAGGCATCAATCAAGTCATGGTCCAGATGGCAACAAAGAAAGTGATAAACTTGCTCTAGTACGCAGAGAGTTCCCATGTATGTACTGTCATCAGTCATTGCTGATCTATGTATTCAGTGTTTCATTCCATAATGACTACTGGTGTCCTTAGTAAGTTGCACATTCATGTGAACATTCTAATGTAAAACATCTGCTTTTTTCTCATGATTATGGCTAAAGGTAATAATAATGCTTATTAAAAAAACAATAAACAATCATTAGCTCAGGCCTGTTCATCTTTATTGTCTGAGAAGCAGAATTTTTCAGCGAGCCCTAATTCTTAAGAAGTTTCTGCTGGTACAACTTTTCTTTATTCTCAGGTATGTTCTATTTTAAACCTTGAGATAATTTCTGTTATGTTTGAAGGTGCTAATATTATGATTGATGATTCAGTACATTTATATTTTACACCTTTTTTTCAGATCATTGCTGGTGCTTTTATAGATCAGCTAAATATTACTAGCTTTTTATTGGGTTATCTTTCTCTTTCAATCTTACTACTCAAGTACTTTACTTTCAATTTTCTTTTTCTTCAATGCCTGCTTTCTTTCCTTTACATTATGTGTTGTCTCATTTTGAGACTTTCCTCTTTAAAGTAATTACTAGCTATTCTCATTCAACTGATTCCTTTAGTAAGTATCAAAATTTTACATTATAGTCTCCATTAGCTGCAACTCTCATTGACGTAATTTCTCGTACCATGTGGCTCTTATGTTTCTTTAACACCTTTGCTACAAGGCACTCATTCACCACCACCCCCAAGTGTTTAGCTGACCTTGAAAGAGCTTCTTCCTTTCATTGCTTGTCTTTGCAGGATCTCATTCACACTTGTCTCTACCAATCTAGAGAAGCTTGCCAGCAGAAGATACAATTTTCCTATAGTGAACATATATTTTCCATAGGTACTTACCTTCTCACACATACATAGCTATTCTCATTCAGCTCTGCCCTCTATATGCAAACAATTTTTTGCATGCCAAAAGCCAAGCCTTACACTCCCACATACCCCACGATTATTTTTGTAGTTCAACTGCACCTCACATGCAAATCATCATGTGACAAACTTCCATCAACAGGAGTGCAACACACCCTCCTGATGCCTTTCACTCCATCTAATTGATTCTACAAAATTATCACGTTGAGTAGAGGCAGAAAAGGAAGCACCAGCTTTCAGTGGGGAGGATGTATATGAAGTGTGAACAGAGGTAAGTACCTATCCAAATATATTTTCAGTGTACAAAAATTGTTACTTTCGATACAGTACTTTCCCTCTGCTTACATATATAGCTAGAATCCTGCATTGAAGAGGGGGAGGAACTGGTGTGAGGGATAAAAAGAAGCACCCTTCAAAAGCATCAGAAGAACACCTTATACTGATGATCCTCTTAATAGAAATCATACATGGGAGACTGCACCATTTCTGTACCAGAGATATTATTCACCCAGTGTAAAAAGAGGTGTTGCAGACACTGGCAGAAGAAATGGAGGAGCATAACCATAAGGAAGAGAAAACAGTTGGGCTAGAATCCAAACCACATGATATCATAACCTCAATTCCATTGAAGAGAGGCTATAGATGAATCCTATAAAGATGGTAATGTGGGGAAAATGAAACTAGATGTGCTCCAAAGTGTAGAATGGCTAGGACATGATGGACCATACATGGCAGGTCAAATTCAGTCCAAAACCAAGTGGTATTGGGAATATAACCTCCAGTCTGTGGAAGGAGGTGGGTCCATACCATCTTCACCCCAAGTTCAGTAGAATAGAAGTTTATACTGTGCAAATGTGCACCATCCACAACTGACCATACATCTGGGAACCTGACATCCAAATGACAGCAAATAAGAGATGTGCCCCTGTAGGAGGTCACATAATAGTCAAACTCAATCCAATAGGCATCCCATTGTGCAACACAAACCTCAGGCCATGAAAAATCCTTGAGGTGGAGCACCAGAGGGAGAACTGTTGCCTCTTTCAACATTATCCCCCTTGTTTTGTGTGATCATGAGACAAATTGAGTGAGGAATAGGAAAACACAGGCAACACAAGTGTGAGGACTCAATGTTGATTGGTCCTGCTCTAAATCCTGATGGTAGGCTGAGAGATCCCAATTGGAGGGAGGAACTGCAATGTGATGAATCAACTCCAAAGCAACATCATCTCCTCAGACAGGACCATACAGCAGTGGAGTGCATTGCAAACTTTGAGATACTACCTCACAGAAGTGGAGTGCCCCTATAAATCATATGCAACTGCACCCTCTGGATAGTCACAGCAGTCGTGTGCAACATGAAACCTCGGAGCCCACCATACAGAGATGGAGCATATTTATTAGGAGACTTGCACAACATCATCTTGTTGGACAGGGCTATACAGCATTGGAGCACATCACAAGATTCTCGGTACCACCACATGGAAGTGGGTTGCCCTTATAAATGACATGCAACCTCAACACTTAGAGCCCACCATACAGAAATGGAGTGTATTTAGTATTGTACATGTGCAACCTCATCCCCTCGGACAGGACCATACAGCATTGGAGCACATTACCTAACTTCCAAGTACCAGCACACAGAAATGGAGTGCCTCTATAAATGATACACAACAGCACCCTCCAGATAGTCATGGAAGCCAGGTGCAACACCAAACCTCAGAGCTCAATGATGGAGCACATGAATGGAGGACCAGCATTATCTACACCAGCAGAACACCACCACCTATTCAGGAGGAAATCTCCATGGTCCACCAACCCAGCAGCTCAGAATTGGAAAGTGGCCACAAAAAGAACAAGGAGGGATAAAATGTAGTGGAGAGTCCCGAGGAACACCAACACTGGAGACAGTGCAACAGGTGACCATGAAAACCATATTTGGAAAAGCAGATCACCCAAGATCTATTCAATCGAAGGGATGGTAGGGATGGGCAGCTATTCCCTTCTGCTTCACCCATTTAAGTCCATGGGCTAGTACGGTCCAGATTGGAAATATTAATGAAGCAAATATATCATGAGGGAAAAACCTAATGGCAATCTTGTGAAACACCCCATCTCAACAGTGTACATTATTGGCCATGGGAATACTGTATTTTATGATAGCATGATGACTGTACAGTGCAGATTTGTGTTATATTAAGTACACCTGGATAGGCAACACTTGCCACAGAGCTGGATCCTGATGACAAAAAAGGGACATGCCCCTGAAATAAAAGAAAATGTATGTAAAAAAGATAACTTGCCCAGTCATAGCCTCACCAAAATTTGAAGGGTGGTGACAGGTGGTAGAATTTCCTCTAATGAACAATAGAGGTAAGATGCATGATCTGATGTGATGACAACTTGAACAGGTTTCCAGATAAAGGGGACAAAAAGGAATAAGTGAATCAAATCAAAAACTGAACCCAAATGGTAAATGTTGAAGGAGAAAGGTCACAAACAGAGGAATGTTGCCAGGGGATGAAAAAGTAGGAACGAGAACCACTGAAAGAAGCATTGCAGGCAAAGTAACAACAAAGAGCATGTACGGGACATAAAAGCCTATCCTGATCAGATCAGGACTAAAGGTGGAAAATGGAAGGGGGGAAGAAAAATTGGCGAGAAGGAAGAATTACCTTTCCAAGCTGCCAAAGCCTTGAGAAGGAAACATCAATCCAGATAAAAGAGAAAGAACATGTGGAATGATACAGAGTTCATGAGAAGTTTATGGCAAATATATCAAACCGATGACATCCACAGGCTAATAGGAATAGGAAGTAGGTCTTAAGCAACAAGTAGAGGACAACAGGAGAACAAAGGTTCAAATGGAAGAAGATTAAGGCAGTGAAGAACCACACTAACATCCAATCCAGAAGGACTGCTTGATGAGGAGGTCTATGAATCTGGAAGAAATGCAACAAAAGGAAGAGGGTAGGGGAGGTAAACACAAAACATTACTGGGAAAAATGGAAGGTGTGCGATAAGGCTGCTTGATATTCAACAATGGACAAGACAAAAGTTCCTGATCAAACGACCAACTGAGGAAATCTGTAATAA